TTGAGCGTTTGAATCCCTGACCCGTTAACTGTCTTGAATTTCCCTCGGGATAAATAAAGTATCTATCTATCTATCTATCTATCTATCTATCTATCTATCTATCTATCTATCTATCTATCTATCTATCTTATCTATCTCTTGAGCTGTATTAATTCTTTGCATTGGTCTATGCAAAGATGGTGTTACTGTTGATTAAAATTGAGGACTGATTTTGTTTTGCAATGACACACATTTTATGATGATGTTCTTTTTGTCCAAGTTGTCTTGCTTCACAATCTTGTTTTCTCGTTATCAAACGTAATGGCATTATGAATTCTAACGCTAACTTTGCAACGTCCTCCCTGTCTCTCTCACTACAGATATTAAACACAGGAGGATCCCCATCCTGTTCTTTGTAACAAGATGGATGTCCGAGATTTCTGTCTTCAGTCAAGGTCTCAAGTGCTCTGTTTGGAGAACATCAAAGACAAACCCTGGCACATCTGGTATAAACATACATGACACTTATTTACTTACTGTACCTAGTATGCTGTATGCTAACGCAATTGGGTCAACTTTGGTCGTTTTAAAGTGCTCAACAAATAAAGTTGGATTGGATTAACTTATATCATTAAGAAACATTAACCCATTTTTAATGTTAGATAGCGTTAAGAGAAGACGTTTGTGTTCATTCACAATACAGAGCAACGGGTCACTGCAGCCATTAACAAACAGCTTTATCTCGACGACTTTTATTCGCTAACCGTAGCTTAAGCCAACATGCTTAGTGGGCTCTTACCGGACTGTAACGTAATTAACATTCGCTAACCGCTATTTAATCTCTTTTTCTTACTGCTGCTAACGTTCAGCTAAGAGACGTAATCGTTACTTCAGCTTGCCGAGGTTTACATGGACGGTGTCTAACGCGAGACAGCCCTTCTCCTTCACATCGCCAATTTTACATAACAGCAAAACACACACACAGATAACTTATATAATAGCGTGAACATTATGTGAACTTAGCCTTGCTGTTGACGCTAACAGCTAACACGCTAGCCGGTGACGATATTACCATTTAAGTTACCCTTCTGTTTTGTAGAGTCGGATTTTACCTGTAATTTAGCCTTCGGGTCTTGCTTCCAGGATGCACTTAACGCCCCCTTAAGCTAGCTCATTAAATAAGCAACGTTTCATTCATTTCTCTCCCACTGTCTCATGCAGCCTAGCTAACAGAAAACTCTCTGAGTTATTTACACTGTTGCTGGGAAACCAGTGTGCTGCTGACTCCTTTCTGCCCCCTACAGGCCAAACAAGGCTGACTCCTGTCTGATACTGTGGGCCTGCAAAAGCAATGGGGTTGTCATGTTTTGGTAAATGTTAACTTTAGTGTTGGAGTCAGAAACATCCATTTAAGAATCCTGATTTGTGCACTGTCACAGTAATGGGATGCATAAAATGTATTCGTACAAATGTTATTGCACACCGGGGGAAAAGCCCCATTCACAAGAGAATGAATAATTAAATCTATGAAATGAAAAAAACAACAAACAGATTGATGATAAAAACAAAAGGAATAAAAAAGAAAACAACTTTTCTTAGGCTTATGCCGTGGAAATGTTTATGTTAAGTATAACTTTACTTAATTTATTCTTTACTCAATAAGTATGTGCCACATATTTTGCCATTGTCATTGGCTCTTGGCCGTTCATCTATCACCCGTTTGACAAACTCACCTGACAATTCTTCATGTCCAGAAAACGTGTCAGTCTCTTGAGTGACAATTAAGAGGACACATGCATGTGTGTGTGGTTGAGAGAGAACACATGCATCCATGGATACCTGTGTGTGTGTGTGTTAGTGTGAATGAGCAATTAACAGCTTGCTTTGAAGAGATATGTTTGGGCCTGGCTGGGTTAAAGTCTGAGAGAAAACGAAGTATTAAAATAGGGTTGTTTATTAAGGAACAAACATACTGAATAAAACTTACAACTTTCACAAGACTTTTTGTACAAGACATACTGCATTATCATGAGGATAGAACGTATATTTCTATAAAATCTTTTGACATTCAGCGGTCTTCAGTTCAAAAAACATGATTGTATTTACCATTCTGTCAATCTTTATTTCTGGTGAATTGTTACATTAACCAGCTGGAAAGGTTGTTGTTCAAATCACATACTGTACCATACCATACCTTATCCTATTCACATCCTCTCTGGTCATGAGGTAACAAGACTTGAGACCATTCTAAGTCAATACAAACCATTGGATTGTCACTTGGAAAGAGAAGAGGTATTGGTGAACACTTGAATAGACACTGGAGAAAAGAAGTCCTAAATTCAAGTGAATGCTAGTATTTGCTGAGATAACAAAGAGACCGCATTTGGCCAACGCTGACAGAGGTTGGTTGTTGTGGAGGCTGTATTGATAATGATCCATAAGATGACGAGTGTGTATTAACCAGACCCACATGTGGTCTAGCAGCCGACGGCTCTCATACGAGCAGTGTGTGGTACCATCTACACCCAACAGTCTGGTGTTTGTGCAATTAGTTGAATGATGATGCCAAAGAACTCTGGTTTGTTTCCAGCTCAGTATGCACATACAGTCTGTCTTTGTGCAATGGTCTCACACTTGAAAGCCACTCTGTTGGATGTGGTGAAGCTGCAGGCGAAGTGACTGTATGCTGCTTATGATTCTCCTCTGGTGACCAATCAAACAGATCCCGATACGCCTGATGTCACTGAAAGGGGAGAAAACAAACACCATAACATGCAATATAGAGGTTCATGTCACTAACCTGCAACAAGAACACTTGGAAAACTTGTTAATATGAACTTTAACCATATTTAGCATAGCAGCATACTGTAATACTACCAGTCGTAATATAGTTAATTTCAGACTGTCAGAGGATATGTCCGAAAAATTAGACTGATATATCTGCAGCTTAATGATGATACAGTGATTAAAACAGGGCACATATAATATATCATTAATGAGGCTGCCTTTCAAAGCAGGTCTACACCATACTACTTATAAAATGATTTGCCGAGACCCAACAATTCTCACCATGAGCTGGACAAATATTTCCTTGACAATCTTAATAATGGATTTTATAAAAAAATTTCTGTTCTTTTGATGCTGCTTGGTTTCATTTTGGTGTGGTTTTAGATACTGTAGCTGCTCTCTCCGTGGTTTCTCTTCACTCACTCTATACTCATGGTTGAAATGGAATCCAGTGTTGTGTATCCTGCTGCCAGGAAGTTGTTCTTATACTGGCTCATCTTGATGGAGTCGAGCCAGTCACCAATAGAGATGAAAAGAGGGTAGTCTGGCATGTCCTCTGGCGAGTCAGGGAAACTGAGATGAGAAACAGAAAGATAAGGAATACAAAAAGACATGTTAGCATATCATTGAGCTGAATAGCAATTATTCTTTGAGTAACCATGCCAGTGGCTCAGAACAACATTATTACCAATAATTTTTCAACACATAGCTAAACTTCCCTTTTAAAAAATGGTATAAAAATGAACTTGTGGATGAACAATCAAGGAATCTAGGAAAAACTATGGTGGCCACGAAATTCACAAAAACGCAAAAGGGCTAGAGGCAGTGCTTGGGTTGTTCGTTCTAGGCTACTGTAGAAACATGGTGGTTCTACATGGTGGGCCCCATGGAAGGCAAACCGGGCGTCTGTAGTTAAAAGTGGCTTATTCTAAGATAAACACAACCATTCATATATTTAGGTGATTATACACTAATGAAAACATACCTTTTTCAACATCTGGACCTTTAAGTCTGTCCAATATGATTATCATACCCTACTGATATTGAAAGCAATAGCTGTTTGTAAGGAGGGAAAACAATAAAATTGTACAGTATTCTTTAGATAGTAATGTGAAGTTTTCACAATGTGTGGTTAGTGGACTAAAACATGCAAGGCCACCAGTATGGTCCTTTCACACAGTGTCTGTATGAACTGATACTTTACCTCTCCACATCATTCACTAGAGTGAGCAGACTACTGGGATTGATTATGAGTTTGTCCAGGAAAGAGAGCACATTGTTGAAGCGTGGGCGCTGGCTGGACTCCTTCTGCCAGCAGTGCAACATCAACTGGTGCAGTGTCACGGGGCAGCCCATTGGTGCTGGTAGACGGTAGCCTTCTTCAATTGATAAAATGACCTGAGATGACCATCAACAAGTTAAATACGAATGGCAAATACAAATTTGTATTGCTTTTGTGTTTATCATGCTTTAGTGGTTAATGTAACCAGCAGCTTACATCTTGATTGGACATCTCCCAGTAGGGCCTCTCACCATATGACATCACTTCCCACATGACAATGCCGTAGCTCCAAACATCACTAGCTGAGGAAAATTTTCCATAAGCAATAGCCTCTGGTGCTGTCCAGCGTATTGGTATCTTTCCTCCCTGACATAAAACATAGAGATATTAAACATTTCTCACTGCAACCACATTCATATTGTAATATCCCGCAGTAACGGTTGGATCCACACTTACGGTAGCAGTGTATGCTGCGTCACTGTCATCCTCAAGGATTCTGGACATACCAAAATCAGACACCTTACACACCAAGTTCTCATCCACCAAGATGTTGCGAGCGGCTAGGTCTCTGTGAACATAACCCATATCTGACAGGTAGGTCATGCCTACCGCAATGCCACGCATCATGCCAACCAGCTGGAGCACTGTAAACTGACCATCACGTGTCTGGAGTGGTTGTGAGACAGAGAGAGGACAAATATGATGCATGGAAGATATTTTTTATTCAGGAAACAGGTGCACATTTGTGAACATGTATCTCTCTCACCCGGAGGAAGGAATCAAGCGCTCCATTTTCCATGTACTCAACCACTATCATTACTGGTCTGCCTAAGGAAAAGGTAAAATGCATGATCTGAGTGATGAACAGAGAGAAGAGACTGAAGGAAAGAATTTAATGAAAACATATATGGAGCTTACTCTTGGTGACCACTCCCTCCAGCCTGATGATGTTGGGGTTGTTAAACTGTCCCATGATTGAAGCCTCACGCAAGAAGTCTCGCCTCTGTTGTTCCACATAGCCACCTTTAAGTGTCTTTATTGCCACAGCGATGTCCATCCTCCCAGGTATATGCAACCGACCACTACAGACTTCTCCAAATTCACCTGTCAAAACAACACAACACAAAAAAATGTTTATTATCTCTCATATATTGACTTGGATAAGACTTATTCCAAGTGGTATATCACTGCTGCCAGTTTAATTTATCATTATGTTTCCTGTTCTTAGTGTAAGTATACATTTATGTTTTTGATAATAAAAAAAAACATCAGGTGAAATAAATATTGTGAGTCAGACAGTTGGATAATCAATTAAACCTGAAGTTGAAAAAAAAAAGATAAATGTGGAAATGATGTGACACTATACGGCAGTTGCATTGCATTTCAAACATCTGTAAGTACACACTGCTCCCACCAGATGGAGCTAGTGTTACAGAAACTAGACAAATGAGATGCAAGTAGTCATGGGCTAAATAGCAGACACAATCTGTTCAAATTAATGAACCATTTAACATCCTTACTCATAGTCGGTAGCACTGGCTTTGCTTCTCTAAGGTACAATACAATAAATTACTTTAAAACCAGCTTTCTAAAAGTGGCTATAAACATTTTAAACATAAGATTTATGAGGTTTAACATCTCTTATAAAATAAAAATGTTACTCAACATAAAATGTGATCACAGATGCTAGACAACCGTATAGTGTCACAGGGACATTTTTACAATATGCCTGTGTAATCCAAAATGTGAATTTAAGAAATAATGCCCATATTAAGATAATGGCACAAACTTGATGTCCTCTATCTACTTTCCAGTCATGATTTATTAGAATTTATGTATTCATCTTGCACACAGGTGACACCTGTGCTGTTCCAATACAGATATCACATGTATAGTACGACTTAATGCTTGTGTACATTTGTGTACGTACAGTATTGTGTATCCTTTTACCTGCACCAATCACCCTCTCGATGCAGATGTATGAGGGGTCTATCTCTTTGGCAAATTCCTCCACAGCCTGAGTGGGGTCTTCATACGTGTCAGGATCCACATAGGTCTTTATTCCAGAAAATGGGACTGGAAGAGAAGAAACACAACATACAGTATGTAATATACAATATTATCTGTTGGAATATACAACTCTGACATACAGTTGCATAGCAGCAATATTCAGGATAGAAGAAACAGGGCAAATACAGAAACAGACACTGACAAACACTGATACACATCTCAAACACGCTGATAACCTGCAGAACTTTCCATTGCGAACACTGGTGGATTTACAGATTCTTGTTGGCACTGTTAGTTCTTCTTACAGTATAATTGAAACATGGTACACTTGCGTTATTAGCTATTCACAGAAGATTTAGATCATATTTCTACGTTAAAGATGATTTTACATAAATAAATATTAATGATTTATGTAGAAAATAAGGCCTTACATTTTACTTTACAACATGTATTAAATGCTCACGTTTTTTGTGTGTTTTGTGAACCAATGTCTTAATTTATTAAACATGCAAAATTAAACTTTCATTCTAAAGTTTTGCATAAAGATGCTAGCTTTGGACTACAGCCCTGCAGTAAATTCTGATATATGGAACCATATAATGCAAACTTTTAGTCGTGACTGGGCCAGAGAAGTTGATTCTTGTTTCAACTATATGAGGCTATAATTAATCCTATATTTGCTTCTATTATACTGTAAGATGTTATTTTGGCAAGGGAAAAGGGCAAAAAAGAAAAAAGAGCTCAGAAAACGCCGCAGAGCATCGTATAAAGACATTGCAGGCAGCCAAACTTCAGCATCCTCCTCTCTGGCTGAGGTTGGGGACGTTGCTGCAGTAAGCACTGTGCACGGTGAGTGGCACAAATGATAAGTTGAAGCAGCCCCTGGTACACCTCGAGCAGATGAGCTGGGGACTAAATGTACTTTATAGCTGTGTCAGCTCATATTGTAGAAGGTTGAAGGCTTCGTCTGAGATAGATTCCAGTTTTGGAGTCTACACTCTACCTGTGTCTCCAGGGTGTCTAAGCTCAGTTCCATAATAGAACAAACCTTTTTTACCAGTTTGTTGAGCCTGCTGGCATTCCCTGCCTGGGTGATACCTCCACAGCAGACAACAGCAAAGAACAAACAACAAGAAAAGACTGTGGGCAAGGATTATAAGTATTGAAATACATTTCATAATATTTTAAGAGAAAGTTCCTAAATTCATGTTTGCATCTGCAAAAATATTATCATTCTTTGTCATGTGCTGTAAGTAAAACTATACTCTGATGATATGCAAAGTTAAAATAACAAAAAAGTATGACTAGATAATTCTGCTAACTTACAGTGGTGTGAAAAAGTGT